GGGGAGACCCGCCACTGCCCCCACAGCGCCCCCTGCTGGGGGAGACCTGCTACTGTCTGCTGGGAGCTCCCCCACCCTGCTCTCTACGGCGCCCCCTGCTGGGAAAGGCTGGAGCTCCCCCACCCTCACTCACGTGTAGTTGGCCTCCTCGGGCGCCGGGAAGGACTCCTTGGGCCAGTTGACCAGGCAATTGAGGAAGATGAGGCAGGCCAGGCCCGACCAGGTCAGCATTATGGTGCTGAAGGAGACGCCGGCATCGTAGATCAGCTGGGAGCAAGGGAGCAGGAGGTTAGTGGGGCAGATGTGGACAGGGAGGGGGGGCAGATGGGACAGGGAGGGTCTGGCTGGCATCTTGGGCAGGGGTCACCCTGATACCCCTCATTACTCCCCACGTAACCCAGAGGCGCTGATAGGCTCTCGGTGAGCCCCCCCCCCCATTCCAGCAGTCAAGGCCACCCACTGATCTGGGGCAGGAAAGGGGGGGGTTGAACCTGCCCCCACATCGAGAGGCCCCCGTACCTTGACTGCGGGGAAGGTGACGGCCGAGGAGGCGTAGGAGCCGATCATCAGCGCCATGAAGGTGGAGCGCAGGTTCCCAAACATGTTGGGCAGCTGGGGAGGACACAGAGCAGAGATGTTAGTGGGGGGAGAGGCGGCGGGGCGGGGAGGGGGGAGACAACCCTGGCGCCAGGACAGGCCCCTGGCCCTCCCCAATCTCTTCCCCCCTCCCCCCATCCCAGCCCATCAACACCACCTCTCCCTGCTGCACGCCCCTCCCTGCTGCCCAGCTCAGGCCGACTTGCCCTGAGGGGCCCAGATCTACTCAGGCCTGGGGGCAGCCATTTCCCTTTGACCCCCACTGAGGGGGGGGTCTCACTAGAGGAGCAGTGGGTGGGGGAAGGGGAGAGGAGGCCTGGATTCCCCCTGGGGAGGGATCCTAGATACAGGGTTAGGGTGCCATGGGGGGAGGGTTAGGGCTGGATCCCAGCTCTGGACAGTGTTGGGGCCCCATGGGGGAGGGGATCAAGCCTGTTCCTCCCCTCCCCCAGATGCAGCCGCAAGCAACAGGGCACCTTGGTTTAGAAAACAGGCCAGCTCCAACCCGTGCCCTGCCCGCCTCTCCCCTCCCAGCGCTGGGGCAGGGGGTGTGCTCCGAGATCCTGCCTTCCTATTGGCTGCCCAGCTACCTGCCCAGGCCACGTGACTGCTGGCAGGTTGGGTGGGGGGGCTGTGCCTGTGCCAAGATGCAACACGGGGGTGGGGAGGGTGTAACCCTAACCCTCATGTGCTGGATGGAGAGATTTCCCCCTCCCTGCAGCGCTGCCCACTTTGCTCCGCCCAGCCCTTTGCCAAGGTCACCCGGCAGCCTGGCCCTGAGGGCTCGCTGGCACCCAGCGCTGGCACACTTCCCGGCTCAGAGCGCTGCGTGCAGCATGTGCAAAAGCCCCGGGTCAGACCCCATCACGGAGCGGGCGGTGTGCGGGATCACGCCCGGCCCTGCAGCCGGTATGGGGACATGGCCCCCAAGAACACCCCAGCCTGTCCTCCGGGGCCCAGCTCCACCAGCTGGGGACCCAGCCCCGACGGAAACCCTGCAGTGACATTCCCGCCAACCGGCCTCCCCTGGGAGCCCAGGACTGCAGTGCCCAGCTACCCATCCCTCAGCCACCAACGCAGACAGGAGCATTCGGCGTGGGGCGAACACAGCCTCAGCTGCCACCTGACCCAAGCAGGCGCACAAGGCCCTCCTGTGCCAGGCTCAGAGCTTGACCCTGTCCCTTCCCCACAGGGCAACCAGCCCCACCCAGCCACGCTGGGCACCAGGCCAGTGCCCCCTCTCCCCCCGCACCGTGCAAGCCGCCAGTCAGGCCCATGCAGAGGCAGCCAGGAGGCAGATGGCTCAGCGCCTGGCCCAGAGCAGTGGGAGCCATGGACATGGAAGGCAGGCGAGTGGCACATCAGCCCAAAGCAAGGAGGGGAGAGCGTGCTCAGCCCTGGGAGCTGGTGAGAGACGGCACAGAGCCCCCTGCCAGCGAGCACCACACACCCCCACACAGCCCCCTCCCCACACACTGGGGACCCAGGCTGGGCCCCACCCTGAGAGCTGGGTGCTGCGCCATGCCCCTGGACCAACCCCCGCGTGGGGCAGGAGTGGCTGAGCGAGCTGTGACCCCCACTCTCGGGCGCAGGCCTCCTCGGCAGGGCAGGGCCCGGCAGGGAGCCGTGGGGACCCAGAAATAGGCAGGGGAGCTAGTCACTCCCTCGCCATGTGACTCCAGGCCAGAGTCCTGCCACGCCACCTGCCTCCTCGGTACTCAGCTGTGGGGTTCAGGCCCCCGCGGCCCAGAGCCAGGAGGAGACTAGGGCACTGACCCCTCTGGGCATCCAAGGGGGAGCCTTGGGACCAAAGATGTTTTGTGCCCCTGAGGAGGGCTGGCATGGTACCCCTTCCCCCACTCTGCTGCCCCCAGGGACATGCACAGCCCTTCCTCCACTCTGCTGCCCCCAGGGACAGGAACAGCCCATCCCCACCTCTGCTGCCCCCAGCCTGCCCTCCCAAGGGGCTCAGCGCTCCCTCCTGCCCCACAGTGACAGGCACAGACCCTCCCCACCTCTGCTGCCCCCAGCCGGCCATCCCAAGGGGCTCAGTGCTCCCTCCTGCCCCACAGTGACAGGCACAGCCCCTCCCCCCAGGGGGCACAGAGCCCACACTCACCGTAAGCGAGGTGAATGTCAGGCAGATACCCCCAAAGCCATTCAGGGACAGGCCGAGGAAAATCACTGGGGAGAGAACTGGGGGAGAGAGAGGCGGGGAGAGTAGATGAGTCTGAGCTGGGGAACTGGGGGGACGGGAGATCAGAGGAGCGCAGGGCTGGGGGTTTGGGGGGATGGGAGAGTGGAGGAGCGCAGGGCTGTGGGTTTGGGGACGGGAGAGCAGAGGAGCGCGGGGCTGTGGGTTTGGGGACGGGAGAGCGGAGGAGTGCAGGGCTGTGGGTTTGGGGGGATGGGAGAGAGGAGGAGTGCAGGGCTGGGAGTTTGGGGGGACGGGAGAGCGGAGGAGTGAAGGGCTGGGGGGATGGGAGAGCAGAGGAGCGCAGGGCTG